CCGAATCCCCATAAGACATCTACTGACCTAAAATCCTTGCACCTGCCAATACATTTTAAGTGGAGTTCTGTTGTCGTAAATTGGCAGTAACCGAAAACGCGCGTTAGATTAAAAGTTGAAAGGTGCAAAGTAGGTGGAAGAAAGCTTTGAAGAAGCAGAGGCTTTGTACCGTCAGATTCAATTTCGTTAAAGCCTAAGGAATGGCGAAAGTCAAACTTTTAATATTTCCACGAAGCCCGCTGCGTGAAATGAGAAAAACTTCGCTTCTTGGAAGTGGGAGAGAAAAGAAGGAGAGGCACATCACAGAAAAGAAGCTCAATTTAATATTTTACTTCATTAAATCGAGCGAACGCCATTTAATACCTAGCGACTTTATTAACTGGAGAAAAAGAGTAACCTCTTAGCAGGCTTTCCTTTTTATTAAAATTGCTTGACGATCCGCGTTTCCCTCTTGGGAATAATTTTTGATGATTATCATGTCTTTGTTTCGGCGGTGGATATTACCGGTATTTTTTACAAATACACTTATATTCTTATTTGCGAGTCGATACTCGGAACAAGATACATACAAAATTCAGTAATTTAAATTATATTTTACAGGCTACATTCTTAACGAGTTGATGGATTTTACATACGAAATGTTAGATTTCTCTAAGTCGAAATCGAAACTTTGAACTTTGAAATTTCCATTTCACCTTACAGCTTAAACGGCGGATTTTTTGTATTGTTTACAGGATGTTGTAAATTTGTGCGCCTCTAGTGTGACTGAATAAGGGCGAAACATAAACGTTGATGATTACTTTTTTGATACTCTAAAAACAATTTTATTTATGACTTTCAGCTTATTTTAAAAGTTGAAGCACTCATATGGATTCTTTTCAAAAAGGCATTGTCTGACAAAAATTTATCAATAGAGATGATTCGCCTTTTTTAAGAACGCAATAGATGTTTCAAAAGATTTAGTATATTATAAAAAATTTTCTTTTTTCTTTATTAAGGGGTCAAAAAATTGCCAATTTCATAACCCTTACCTGGATAAGGGAACGGTTTAGGACCAATGTTTATAGTCACACACACTTTACGTGTTAACTTTTAATTAACTTTATGCTTGTGCTTCAAAAATCGCAAAACTCAAACTATTTCAACAGATTTTCATACGCGTTCACAAAATCCATCAACAATATTTTCATTTTGGGCACTTGGAGTGCTGCAAATATTCATACCCACTGTGGCCATTTCTGTCTTACTCTTCACTCAAGATCATTTATCAAATCGTCGGGCTAGCGATTTTCAATTTAAAGTCTGTAACGCGGGATCTCAGGACCACGTAATCATTAATTAGATTTTTCTTTAGCTGGGAAATTTTTAATATGGCAAATGTCATTCGTCGTATGTTATGTTTTTTTTCTTTTGAAATAGTTTATTTAAACAAAAACTATAACCAGTTTTAACAATAATTCCCCAATCAGTGTTTGCAAACACTGGCCCCGAAAATAACAAGACAATAATCAATATCTATGAACTACAGGTTTGCATTAGCACTGCACAAGTTTCTTCCTGTGGCTGTGGCTCGAAAGGGGCTCATGAATATTTACGGTTGGAAGACAATGGTACGTTTGATTTTCGAATCCTAAAATAATCTAATTGTACAGATAATGGCCCATAACCACGCGGTACACGGTGAACAGACCCGCAGTCATGTGCCCACAACCCAAATCTGCAAAGATGAAGCCTTGCAACAACACCAACAGCTACATCGAGGACATTGATTCAGCCTGACTACAAGAATAAGAAGAAGGTTTCGTTGATAATCGGTGGAGCAGCCACTGTCTTTATTGGGAGTGCAATCAAGATGAAATGTCCAGTCAGAAGGTCAGTATCCGTTTATCTCAGGTCATCGTTGGTTGTCAGAGCGGTCCGTGGGACCTTAGCTCTTGAGTCACAGTGTCAGTTTGTAAGTCTGTCAGGTCTGGTAACCCAGAAACCAGACAATTTTAAGGAAAAAAGGGGAAGGAAAGGAGAGAAGGAAGAACGAGAGCAAAGGGGAAGAAGAGAATCGTTTAGGATATGCAGCGTTTAGGCATTGTTAAAATCGCTTCACAGATTGTGATATGGTCTAAAAATATTTGATTTTTTCTAAAGATTGTGTAAAAATGCTCAAATTTTGGTTGTTCTAAGTTCACGAGTTAATTTTGATTACAGTGCGAGCCGCGGCCTTTTGTGCTTGCGAACTTGCTCGACTGTGTAGTCCACTGAATCACGCAACAGAGGGTTGCTGTGCGATTCCGATCCGTTTATCTGTGACTATTTCCCTCATCTTAATTTCTACCAATCATAAACGAGCAATTTTAAATTAAAAATGGATTCTAGATTGAAAAATTGTAGTATGACAACACCTGTCAGCAGTTTTTTTGATTTACCCACTGCAAAACTTGATAGCTGTTGTCACAAAAAATTACTGTACCTTTGATAACAAGTAATTCGGATCTTCTAGGACACCAGAAATAATAATCTGTTACTCATGAAATAGTCCTGTGAAATTCCATTCGGACATCGTAACTTTTCCTGTGAAAAAAATCGAAAAAACAGAATGCAAAGTAATGTTTTTCACATCATCAATAATAGCTCAAGTTCGACTGAATATTTACAATTCTTTTCTGAATATGTCAAGGTTTAAAACAATTTCCTCATTGTAGTGTGCAGCAGGACGTGGCGTGTCAGGAAACAAATGCAGAATCATCCGAAGAGTCTGGTACGAAATGAAGAAACTAGCTGGACCAGCTTACAAATGATCTCATCAAGCCACCCGTTTCAAAGAACTTCATTGGATCGCCGTGTCGAGCAATAAAATGTGAACTGGTGCTCTCAATATAGGTTGTAAAATGCAGTATTTTATGATATAGGTTTGGTTTGGTTCCGTTGTTGATTAGCACCGACTTGTCATTGGCCAAACATGGCGGCAAATGTCATTCGTCGAATGAGTAGGCAAGCGTTCTTTCCGTGTCATGTTTGCTCTAAGCATTGCACAAAGATGGCGGCAAATGTCATTCGTCGAATGAGTAGGCAGCCGCCTTTCCCTGTCATGTTGATTCAGCGCCACCTTCAACTAACGAGCCATGAAGAGAAAAAGGCAACACCGCATCATGGCATTTTGGGGTCCGGCCGTCCAGCTGGTGTGTGCCGTTATTGAGGCGCGTTTTCACGGGTCGATCTGAGTCGAACAATTTGTGTCGAACATTGAATCGAAAGCAAAGTGGTGTCGTTTTTATGTTTGGTCAACATACATCGCCTATCGTGTAAACCTTTTTGCTTTCAACTCAGATCGAACCATGGTTGAATAACCCAGGTGGTTCAACTTAGATCGACCCGTGAAAACGCGCTTTTACAGAAACTTCGATTCGAGCATTTTTTTGATGAATCTCAAATTTACGAGTACAAAGTACAAAACAATTTCACTAAACATAAGTTCAAAATCGAAATAACAGAATGTGAATACTCTATGCGAACCCTAGAGAGGGAAATTCACAAGAATACTAATTATGTAGTGCTTCTTATAACTAAGTTGTTTGCTGGCAGACGTATACAGGAGTAGAATCGTACTTGAGATGTATAAATGAGGTATTGCATTACCACACCAAGTTACCAATTTATATCGGGAGGTTTTGCCAAGAGCCATATATCTGTGGTACTAAGGCAAAACCCAATATGTAAAAAAATATAGATTTTTTGTTTTTAATGTCAATATGTACACCAAATGACAAAGTATTCTATGGCAAGACCCGATATAATTTATAAAATTTCCGTAACACTCTAAATTAATGTTATTTTTTTAAGGAGGAGCCTAAAATTTAAAAAAAAAATTGGAATTACTAAAAAAATTATATTCAGAATAAAGATAAGAAATAAATAAAATACATAACTGGAAACAAAACAAAAAACAGTGTACAAACTAAAAACAACTATAACTGAAAATTAAATAATAGAGAAAATAAAATAATTGTAACAAAATAATAACTAAAAGGATATTAAAAAAGATATTGCACATTTTATATATCATTCACACATTGAAGGTGCTCAGCTTTCTCCGCTTTTGCAAATCAAAGCTTGTGACTGGGGATTCAGTTACACTATTACGGTTGGCCCGAGAAGTAGATACATTTTGTTTAAGGTTTGCTTTGTCAATTAATTTTGTATTATTTTTAAATTTAACATAATCATTTAAAAAAATATTTGAAAAAATTGATAGGAGGTTTAATAGGATATCTCTATAATTATTCCCACATAAGCAAGTTTTTTGAAAATTCCTCATAAACAAGATCTGATTCTATACTTTGCAAGGTTAGATGACATAAAATATTTTTCTGCTGAGTACTATGTAAAAACTCATTTTCTAGTCTATCTATGTTTATTATAAATTCGAAAATGGCATACATGTGGTAAAAAATAATATTGACATATTCAGTTGGAATAGACAGTCCTCCTCTTTGCAAATAATTAAAATATTCACCTCCAAAATTTGTTCCTTTTTCCTTTACAATGAGTGAAATGCATATGGTACAATTAAGTTTTTTAGAAATACTATGTGAGGCATAACCAGAAATGTACATCTTAGTATCGTCTTCTAAATCACAATTTGATAAATAATTGGTACAAAAGATTTCTGAGAATATATCAAAACTTTTGTCAGGATCTAAATTTTCACTACTTCCTGGTGTACATGATAGATTTTGAAATTTGTTCTTGATTTCTGTGAATGAAAATGATTGTGATGGTGATTTAATAATGTGTTTGAGTCTGATCTTCTTCTCAGAATGGATGACATCATCACAGGAAACATTATAATTGCAACCACTTAAAAGACGATAATTACCAAACCGTTTTTCTAGAGCATCAGTGGAAAATTTACCAACTAAAATATGGGAAACAGGAAACTTCTGGAACGAGTGTTCTATGATTTTTAAAATGGCTGTAGTTGTTAAATACAAAGCAGTGAAAGTCTCATTTGTCAAGCGGCCATTGTTGTTTGGAATACTGTCCCATTGCTCGAGCCAAATCAGAAATTTTCTCAGATATTGGCACCGGAAGTCATCTACACTAGAAACAGGCTTTGAAAATTCATTTAACTTACATATACCCTTAATGCAACTTTTATTATTCATAACATCCCACCAATTTCTGATGATATCTAAAAATCCTGCAGTTTCTGTGAAGCCAAAATCTTGAAGAGCTGCTATAGTTGAATGGTGGAATAAGTTATCTGCAAGATGTACCTTTTGTCTATCAAAATTATTTGGGTGTATTGTTTTTTCATTTAATTTGAAAGCTTTCTTAACTACGGAATGTTTTTCTAGACTTACTTAGATAAGATGGCACATTTGGAAAGACTGATGGAACAGCACCTTCTGAAAGTTTTGGACGACTCAGTGTGACTGTGTTAGCTGATCCATCCTGCAGAACATAAGTTTCCGTACGGACAATTTCTGCTTGTTGAAAATGTGCATCACAAACAACAGAATCTTTAGAAGGCGACCAGTCCTTTCTTGGTATTGAAGCTAGCCACTTACTTTTCAACTCCTCATTTTTTGGAAATCGAAACACTGACCTGTAGGGTGTCGATCTCAATTCTGCCTCGTAGTTTCCCTTGCAGCCTGGTACACAGCAACGCTTAGGCATATTAATTAAAAGAAAAGATGTACCCACTCGAATCTACACACTATACAGACGTTTCTAACAAGCACCGATTCACACACATTTTAAACACATCAAAGCACGATTTTATACTACCTAAAATAAATACTTTCTGCACGGTTTGAAGAGCAAAACTAAGTAGATTACTTTGGTTTGTATGAATTGCACTGTTCCCAGAGATTTACAACAAAATTGCACCAAAAAGTCGGAGGTTAGGAATATAAACAAACGAAAAGGCCGGCAAACACCTGTCTGTGGAAGACCCCAAAGCTGCGTTGCCATATCTACTGTTCATGGCTCGTTAGTTGAAGGTGGCGCTGGTTGATTCTATCGCTGGACACAAACATGGCGGCAAATGTCATTCGTCGACTGTTATGTTTTTTTATTCTTTTGAAATAGTTTATTTAAACAAAATAATACAAAAAGTATAACCAGTTTTAACAATAATTCCCCAATACTTCACCCTCTGCCCCCCAGGGCCATCCCCTTAAAAATTTTAAATGACAAGGGGTATCGAGTAATAACTTGCTTGAAAGGTCTTTACGAGTTCTTTATTTTGACGTTTATTTTTTTTTAAATCAATCGATTCGTTTTCGAGAAAATTAGAAAAATCATCTTAATTTGTTCAGATAGAAAACAAAAACACACGAAAATATGGCTTTTCATTCCAATAAGTGTTCAAAATTTTGCCCGTTAGGGTTTGCCAAAATTACAATTCGTTTATAATTTAAAACGGAAACTAGCAACATAAACATCAATTTGGAAGATTAGACGTGGCAACAACCCGAATTTTCGCATCGTTTCATCAACACAGATACCTGGGCGAACTGTATTTATTGTTATACCTATTTAGTTATTTGTTGGTAAGGGAAAGACAAAATTCGATTTGCTGTCAGTTTCCTTTGTGACAAAAATTCACTTAAACATAGTTATTTAGATAAGAGAGAGCAGGCTATCTTCGTTAGACATAAAATATTGTACAAATTTGCTGCGAATATCATTAGCCACCAAACTTCCACGAACTGGATTCGTAATAGGTAACTGTGTTAGTTTCGATTCTGATTCAAAGGTGGATTCGATTTCTACTCGCATTATCAAACTGAAACCTTTCCTCTTTATGTGCAAAATTTTGCCAAATGCAACAAGCTTTCACATCTACAGTCAGATCAATGGACACATACGTTGGCTGGTGAAAAATACGCCATTTATTGGCTAAAACGCCAAAACCACATTCAACAAATCTTCGTGCTCTTGTGAGCCGATAATTGAACGTTCGTTTTAATAACTAAGTTGAAGGCCTCCGAATGGACGAAGTAAAAGTGATAGTGCAAACCAAAGGCTTCGTCTCCAACAATCACAAACGTCAGTTCCAGGCATGCAAGTTGCATCGGCTAGATTTAATGTGCTTCTTAATTTTTCCAAAATCTGGTTTCTTTAAAAACACTGGAATCGTATTCCTTTCCGTAAGCACCAATACTGCCATTGAAACTATAGAAAAATAACCATTGTAATTTAAAAACATCGAACCAATTGTCGAACGTGTTAATGATTTAAGTCTCAATAATGAAAATGCGGAACCCAATCAATCAAGGTCAGGGAACGGTAAGGCGAGTGAGGCTCCAAAGGCTAAAAAATAATCAACTTAGTGAACTGGACATTACGTTTATGAAGTACATGGATTTAACAGCACATGAGGATAGAAGCGTAGTATGAACTTTTTTATGGGAATTTCTGATACAGTTGACAAGTTTAGTGATGAAAATTTGGTAGACTTTCAGTTTCAAGTCATTTCAATCATTAAGAGCGCATAACCGATATACACCTACACCTATAAACCAACGGGATCGTGGCTATCAAAGTGGCCCAGTACCGACGAGTTGACAGTTATCAATGTATGGGTATTCTACAGCTACTTAATCCGCTTTTGGGATCGCTCGTCAGGAATATATAATTTTGGACATAGTTCTGGCTTAGAGCCAATCCCCAAATCGCAACCACCTGTGTACAGTGTGAATCTAGAAAGTACCGCTGCAGACTCTCAAGCTGGTACTGAAGAAGATATCAGTTCTGCATTTCATGAGCATATCTAGCTTGGTCTCTGTTTTTTCTCGTATACAATTAATTTATAAATATTTTTTATGCGATAAATGATTAATGTAAATTAAACAAATGCAAACAAATGTAATTTGATTTTGTATTTACCTAAAAGCAATCTTTCTGCGGGCGAGATACTTATATGCTTTGTCGAATATTGGTATCTTGGTTTTTCAATTTCTGGGATAATTTTTGGAGCGATCTATCGAATGTCGTTTTCTTCATTCTAAAAGTGCGTTACTTCCTTTTCCCCCCATTGCTGTAACATGCTTTCATTTTTAAACTAGAGACGAAGTAGCTGCATTATCTCTTAAACGTTAAGAATAACATTTCCAATCAGAATTGAGTCAATTTTTTTTACGTATTATTAAAAGATAAATAAGTTGCAGTGTTTGTTGCACATAAATTTTGTGAACGTTTAACTTAAATATTAAACACAAATACACGTGAACATTATGTATTATTAAATTGACTGTTTATATCTCCTGTCCCAACAATGATAATTGTTTCAAAAACTGTTTAGCATTATTCAAAGTTGTAGCACCGTATACGATTTTCCTTGATGTTCCTGCTGATGCTGTTTTACTCTGAAAACAAATGGTTGTCTGTTAATATTCCTCCAAATCCCATATTTTTTCTTCCATTTAATTCAAATATTTGAGGTAATAAAATTGATGCATGGACATCATATTTTAGAGTAAAATTGACAGATGAAAATATCAAGATGGCCACTGGGCGCCATCCTGGAAAAAAATTATATGAAAACGGGGGTTTTGTGGCACATCATTTTGAAGCTCCTGACGAGTACTTCATAACCCTATTCTATAAAGTCAATACCTTTACCTACTACAAAATGGTGGTATATTTAATAATTACCTGAATACATTGATATTAAACTTGATAATTCGAATAAATACGTCGAGTTCAGTTTAGAAGATGCTGGAAATGGTTGCCTTGAACTTGTTGACACAATATAGCAGCCGGTCCGTAATTTCGCGTCGAACATTTTCAAACATATAGTAACATCGATATTTCTACAAATATTTGTTACTCTCAGCCGTATATCCAATATTGAAGCAGGTTCAGTTTCATACACCTTTTGCTTCAAATAGACCCATAAAAAGAAAGTCTAAAGAGTGTCAAATCTGGCGAGCGAGCTGACCATTTCACAGGACCTCGACGGCCAATCCAACGATCGGCGAAATTGTTATAAATAATTCCTAATTTGTCTGTACTAGTGGAGCACCAGCTTGCTGGAATACAATATCAGTATCGAATTCATTAGAGGGTCAATAGTATTTTCCATCATATCCAAATACAGTTCCCCGGTTAAAGTTTGTTCGAGGCCCCCACAATATGATTTCCCAATATCCCAGCCGAATCGTTAATTTTTTGTGGATATTAACAACAATTTTGTCTATGTTGTGAAAAAATGTACATTCATCATTAAAACAAATATTTTGGATATAGGTAGGATGCCGTGCATTGGTTTCCGTCATAGTTTCTTAGAATTCTGTTCTTCGACCAGGGTCATCTTCAGTTAGTTGATGTACCATTTGAATTTATCATGGGTGATACTTATTCTTTTTCGAAAGTCTCTATACAGTAGAAGGACAAACCTTACATACATTCGCGATGGAGGAAGTAGACTGTTCTGGATTTCCTATGATCTCACGAATTATTTGAACTTTCTTTTCTTCCGAGATGGTCGGATGACCTGCGGGCTTTTTGTTGTTTACACTACCAGTAGCTGTAAATTTGGATACAAGTTCCCTTAAATATTTTCTACAGATAGGCTGATTCGGGGCACGACATATGCATATTAGTGGGTTTGTGTTCAAGTAATTATTAAATGTACCACCATTTTGTAGTAGGTAAATCTATTGACTTTATATAATAGGGTTATGAAGTACTCGTCAGGAGCTTCAAAATAATGTGCCACAAGACCTACGTTTTCATATAATTTTTTTTCCAAGATCGCGCCCAGCGGTCATCTTGACATTTTCATCTGTCAATTTTACTCTAACATATGGTATCCACGCATCAATTTCATTACCTCAAGGTTTAATTTTTTGAATTGATCCGTTCAAAAAATCAAAGAAAAGCACTGTATAGTAGTTATGAATCAAGGACGTACCCCGGTGAAACCGGAAGGGCAGGCACCTTCAAAAATGTTTTTGCAATACTGGACAGCAACACTTGAGATAATATACGACAAATATTATGTTTGCTTTATATATCTATTTTATGGGCGTACAGGGTTTGTCCGGAAAGTAATAGAACTGAGTCGATTTGAAAAAATTTATTGAGCCAATCGTTACAATTCTTTAAAAACTTTCGTTTGAGTCTCCTGAGCACTTCCACGTAAAACTTGGCGTTGACGGTTTGTCCAGGAGGAACAAATTCATGGTGGACGATGCCTTTGATGTCAAAGCGCGCTCGCTCCGAAGTACAGTCATGGCGGAAGAAAATGAGTCCTATTACTTTCCGGACAAACCCTGTACATATCCCTCAGTCAAGTCAATAGACCAGGGAAGTTCTATAATCACGAAGAAACTTCAAATGGAAGAACACTTTTCAGATATAACTTAGTATGTACATTTTTGTGGCGTTCGTCAGGTAATCAATGGCCCTCTATTACAAACAGCAAAATATTTTTGTTAATCGATCCTGTTGCGACAGAGCAATCATCAAAAATAATAATGATAATAATAATACTAATAATAAGCGGAATCCTACTTTTAAACAGATTTTCTAAAGGAGCTGACACCAAGCGAAGAGGATTTTTGAAATTACCTTTGCATAATCAACCAGATTTTGGTATTCAATATAATTCCCACCTCCGACAACGAATACAATAGCTTCTTGAAACGGTGATCTATTTCTCGGCATTTCCGTCAGTTTTAATTGTTTTGGATCTAAGTAATGGTACTCCTCCATTTCTGGGCAATTCTTCAATTCCATCAGGTTATCTACCACTTTGGTCACTGGCAAATTCTACAACATATTTAATGTGTATTTATAACAATTTATTGAAAACATTTCGATTTCAACTAAGACCGATTGAATTCTTTAGATCAATTAGTATACACGGTGTAATTTAATGATTGGCCGAAATTACAAGGGCGAAAAGAAATTTAAGTAGAAAAGATCATATAAAAATATGTTTTCAATATACAGGACGTCAAAGTTTCACAAAAAATTCTTTTATTAATATCTCAAAGATGTGCTTATGTCGATTACAAGTAGACAAAGGTGTCATGTAACAGAATTATTTACTGGAGAAAATTTAGTTTAAACATTTTTTATTGGGAATTTTTACTTTACATATTGATATTTTAAATATTTAGTTTAGTTAGTTTGTTATTATATTGTTTTTGCAAAAAAGTAATCACAGAATGAAAGAATCACTCCTCAAGGTAAGTTTGATGAAAAAAGAGCAACTTTAAACAAAATTTTCATTCCAGTGACGTTTCACGGGCAGTCTCATGAACGATGTTGACAAAAAAAAATGTAAGCCAATTACTATTTTTTGAAAACAACATGCATTTTTCAGATTAAGCAGCTAATGATTTAACTTTTTTGTCGACTGAATGTATGAAATTAGAGGCATATCGGCCACCACGAGTAACCGGATGATATGGCTCACGACGGGCCCTTATGCACTTTTACATTACCTAAGCCTCAAGCTATTTTGTCTCTTGATATCTCTTCGTATCAGACTTCGTTTTCGAGGAAAAACTTTAAAACAACTGCATTACATGTCTATAAATTATTAAAATAAAATAAAATCAACTGATCGTTGTTAAGGAGTGTTGTTTTGTTGTTATCAACGTATTTTTGATTTTCCGTGAGAGTTTTCTATTGTATAATAACATTTTTTTTAAACTTTGACACTCTATATCTTGAAAACCAGACGTTTCAGGACACATGTTTATATCAACTTTTCTACTCATTTTGTTCCATTCACCTCTAACATAAATAATTTAAAACTATATAATCAATTAAATATAAAGAAAACAAATCTCCAAAATGGGTATACATATCGCGTAAATTGTTTTACTTCGTTATAATAATACGTAACGAATGTATTACAAAGAAATTTATATTTCTGTTATATAGGTTCACATATTTCAGAAACTCAATTAAACATTTCATACGAAACACTAGTTGAATGCCACATAAGATATGGAATTATTATCTGGATATCCATGCGTAACAACCACCTAAATTATTTACAAATTTATCATATCCCACTAAATCGCTGTTTATATAATCACAACTTTTAATTATAAAAAAATTATTTTGGTATAACGTTATATTAGAATTCCATAAAAACCAACATTTGACCGTTTATAAAACGATTTAAACAAATAATTATTGCAACACCAAGAAAGGAAATAATTTTGAAATAATTTATATACCCAAGATTATATCATAACTTTACCAACCTATATTACGAATATCATTATCAAAAATAGAATTATACGAGTGACTATTAAACACTGATAGAAGCATGATGTAATTTAAGAAAACTAACATATAAATATCTTTCCCGTAAAATTAATACACTACATTTATATTATACATGTATATAGATTTTTTATAGTCTTTATCAATCAATTTATTATAATTACTCTGTTATGATGTTATATGCATTAGAATGATACAGACACACAAGGATATTTTCGTTTCTGTGACATCAATTTATTCACAATTTATAATATTATTAAAAAACAAATCGGGTTTAGAAATGTGCGCTTGTAGTTATGGCCTATCATTAAGTAACACCCTGAAAATACAATTTATTATGTTTTGCTGGATTAATTCCTATATTTTAGCTACATCCTTTACTCGTGTCTTTTAATCCGAAAATATGTTCTAGTAACGTGTGAATTCTTCAAAGGCAAAGCTAAATTATTTAGTAGCTGTGCTGATACAAATAATTGAATATTTTCTGAAAATCAATAATTATAGTCTCAATGAGTATTCGTCGTTATAAGGAAGTCGACGTTTGTCAGAAAACGGATAAAAAAACCGCTTCTACTTACATGTCTTTTAATAACAAGATTTTTGACTCCTTCCATAACAAAATTTGAGCCTTGCGAAACTAATTTAGAGAACATGCTGACCGTTTTCGTGCCTGCACCCTCATATTGATTCAGATTCGAACTGCCGCTGGCGATTTTTGAAAAACTCCTACAAATGAACAAGTAAGCATTTAGAATTCTAATTCACTTATTACAGTTACCGAAATAAATATAAAGGATGTCCCAAAAGTCATGGAGCAAACGAAGGGGGATGCTGGAGGTCATTTGAAATCATAAAATTCATGAATGTCTTCCGATTGTGCACGGTTTTTGAGCTATCGCCATTTTTATGAATTTTTGGAAAATCGCTACCCTTGAGACTGTACTATTTTTACCTGAAGTTGTCTTCTGTTATTTTTCAATCATATTTACAGGATATTTTGCTCCAAAATGAAGTGTTGCTGGAAACGAGCTGGGTGGAAATTTAGTCCAGTTAATGTAGGTACAGCAATTTTGTCTGTTGTCAGAAAGATTACAGCATATTATCCAACAAAGTCTGTACAAAAAATTAGTAGACGGGTCAGTGTCCGTAGTGATGAAAAACTTGACGATGCTACGATCTTTCAAAATACCTTTCAATTAATCAAATATACTAAATAGTAGACAAAATGCTGCAAGTTTTTTTTAACTCTTTAAGTGTCATTGTTGATCTTCTTCCTTCCAAGTGGGATGAGCAAAAGCTCATGTGACAGTAAATCTTCAAACCTGCATGAATTCTAGGTCTAATCATTCCAAATGGATGGCAGCCTTGGCATTATTTCCGGTGTTCAATGTGTTACTGAAACAGTGCAGTAAATGAAGGTGAATTTTGAGTTTTATTCCCTCTATAATTCTTTTTTTCTTTTTCTCCTAAAACTTGTACAGATGGAGTTTCAGTATAAAACACTACTTTCTTCATAATATATAACGCCGTAGAAAGAAATCGATGGGGTTGAGGTCTGGTGAACGAGGCGGCCAGGTTATAGTTCCTCTTCGCCCTATCCATCCGCATCTTCCTGAATATATGCGCGATTGAAAAAAATCCTTGATGTAGCGTGCCTTGTATGGAGGCGCCTCATCCTGTTGGAATCGCATTGCTGTGCGGCTCTCTAAAGGCATGTTGTCCAACATATCAGCTAACAGATCTGGTAAATTGTTTTGTGGAAAATTTTCACTCGTAACTTTTTTCCAGTGACCCATTATTTGAGGGCATATCCTGTAAATCTGAAGGAAACATCACAAAAAATAGTACAGTTTAGAAAGTAGCGATTTTCCGCAAGTCTTAAAAATGGAGACAATTCTAAAACAGTGCACAATCGGATAAGGTATGACCCCCCTTATACCCCGTTTCGTTTCGTCAATGACTTTTCGGACACCCCGTAAATACGGTTTTCCGAACGCTCGTCCAGCTCTATTTCAAAATATGCGCGAACTATTTCGAAATGAACTTACTTCCATCTCTTTATGTACGCGATCGGCGTCAGATCGCAACCGCTCTGAGCGAGCGCCTCTTCGTATTTCCTCAAATCCGAATCTGAAATCTGCGTGCTGCAAATGTAGAATATAATGAACAGTCTCAGTTTATCATCGGGCGTGCCAGCATTCGGATCGCTCAGTATTTCCATTAGCGGTTTTTCCAAGCTTTGCGCCTTAGACATTATTTTCTCCTCCAGTTCAAAAAATGTGTCCAGCTTACGAGATTTTATATGATTCAGAATACCTGAAATGTGTCCCATATTATTTTTTGTTAACGTGGATCCGATACTATGTAACTATGCGTCCAGAAGGAAACTATATGGAATATTATGCCGTCGTTTAAAAATGTATAAATCAAAACTTGCGCTAAAATGAACCAGAATTAAATTTTAATTGGGAACCTTTGCTATTACACCAAGGAAAACATGAGAGGTAATAACGGTAAAAGAAAGGAAAAAAGTCAAATTATGATATCAAAATATGGTATCGACGATATATTTTCAATATGGAAATTTTTTATAGAATGGGGATGGTGCTAATAGAAGCTTACATGTAGCGATGGAGGTGTGCATGTCTAGCAGCCTTTTCTGTTCGATAAGTTGCGGCAGAGAATTGACAGCAGTCGTAATCCTGGCCGTGTTGTCCGAGACGACCATCGCCATAGCAACGTCGTTCTCTTTATCTTCCAGTCCCATCGAACTGCGCAGTTTCTTCACCTCCTCCTCAGAAGACTTGTACTGTTCCAACTCCTCCTGAATCGCCTCGGCGACTGTCGGAAAAGGGCTGCCCTTGTGCTGGGACCAGAACTTGTCGCGGCTGTCCAATTCGCAGGCGCGGTTCTTTGCTCGAGCACCTGCAATACTCATTCATACTGTTTCTGAAATATCACTGTTTTGAATATTTCATCAGATTCGATTCATGTTCAAATAAATAGATGTTTTCAATATATTGGTTTACTTCAAGGTTCTTTCTCATTTATTAGTGGGTAGACTATCAATTCTCAATTCAGATTCTGTTCGACAACGTTTCAATTCGTGTATTGTCAGTTAATATTTTAGATCTGTTTACCTGTATACAATAAATATTTAGTAGTTTTGCATTTGCCGAAATTGCTGGCTCAATAAATTATACAGGGTGACAACACCCCCAAAATCTTAAATGGAAAGGGGAGTCGAGTGATACCTTATTTTAAAGGTCTTTCAATTCCCTTTATAATGATATAAAATTAATTTTCTTTAGTTTAGTGGTTTTGAAGATTTATTGATTTAAAGCTTAAATAAAACTAATACATCATCATTAGTGGAGATCAATACATTTGGCAGCAAAGTAATTTAAAAATGAAGAATGACCTGACCCGTTAGGCAAGATTTTGCTTTTTAAATGACCCCACATAAAGAAATCCAAAGGTGATAAATCTGGCTATCTTGGGGGCCATTCAATGGCACCTCTTCTACCAATCCATCGATCTGGAAACGTCAGATCTAAATATTGTCGAACACGTAATGCGTAATGCGGTGGGGCTCCAACCTGTTGGAACAATGCAGGATATATGGCGTCCTCTAGTAATTCCAAATACATTGCACCCGTCAAATTTTCAGGTAAGAAAAAAGGACCAACTAAATGATCGCCAAAAATACCAGCCCAAACATTTAATATTTGTGGCTGCTGTGTATGAACCTCATGATAAATTCTGGGATTAGAATCGGACCAATATCGGCAGTTATGACGATTACTACGCCATTTAAGAAAAAGGATCATTCGTCGGAAAAGCAAGTGTTGAATAGAAAATGTTCATCATTTATAATTCGTTCACTCATATCTTCACAAAATTGTAATCGGAACAAAACAAATCTACACGTTTTACCGAACATACATAGAACAACTAAAATATACCGTGAATACCAGCGCGCGCAATCAGAGCAGTACTACTGTGACAATTTTCCAGATAACAAGAACAAAGCTTTTATCATACGTGATTCCTTTGTAAAATAATTGTACCTAGTGCGTCACATACCTCCAGTGGGTTGCGACTCCTCGATGACCACTCTGTTCAAAGCGAGGTCCAACAGATCGTGTGCTAGCGCCTGATACGTCCAGGTGTGATGCAGCGGAGTTGCCATGTCCACATGTCTGTCCAGCACGAGCAACAGCGGCCTCTGGAAAGCGAACTGTGTCCCTGCTGCTCCCGCTAACCCGCCGTCCCCGGCAAACAGGCTGTTCCTAGCGTGGAACAAGTGCTCGCGCAGCTTTTTTTCCAACTGTTTGCCCACCATCTCAGCAGCGTTACCTTTCGGACATCGGATTATCGGGACCGTACCTGAAACCACCATAAACAAATTTAACATAACAGTCCAGGGTGGCCATCTAAGAATGCGAGGTACTGTGTCTGGGAACCTTTCCATCGTAGATGTTTGCGGCAAAAAAAGGTCTTACTAAAATGGCAAAGAGAAAAATCTGGAAAACAATTTCAAGTTTCTGAAATGGCCGTTACGGGGCGTAACTGCAATCTTGAATCTATAAAAGTATATTATAATAACAAAAAAATACATGAGTTTTAAATTAGAGGATTATCTGAACTTTTTTCGTTTGAAAATTTTTACTGTATCCCTAAAAATAAAGTGGTGGCGGGTATTCAAAGATTTCCGTAAAAAACACCATGTATCTTCGAAATTGGTTTAGCCGACTTTAGCAAACTTGGGCAAGAAAAGAGCTATTCCTGGGTTACAAATGTTATAATATTTAAAGTTTTGTTAGTTTCACATGTAACCGCTAGAGGGCTTTTTTCGACATTCTGACAGAAATGGTCGATTTTTCAAAAAAAAAAAAAGAGTAGCTAAATGATGTCTAAATAAGTCTGCGAAAACCGCATCTCGATATCTTCTTCATAACCTAAAATTTATACAGAAATCCCTTAAATTTTTTTTCAAATTAATTTTTCGGGAATTCTGTTTTATTCATCAGATAATGTTTTCCAGGGGTTTATCTTGGTCGTTTTAGCGATAACTGTTTTTGCGGCAAGCCTATATGATAAATAGGTTCCCAGATACAGTGCCTCGCATTCTTAGTTGGCTACCCTGTACATTTTATATAGGACTATCTACCCGTGTGGAAGTACTATCAGGTATTATCGGTCACTGGTTTTGCAAGAGACTGGGTGTCAGAGAAAGAAATGCAATACTCAGAGTAACGTGATATTTACGTCAGCAATGGATATTTTTTGCACAAAATTTTAATATAACAATCAATTAATATCAAACATTTAATCAGACTTGCAATAAATAATATCTGAAGTATCTACAGTCTGTCTTGCATATGTATAGACTCTGATCTCAAGTTCATCAGTCACATAAATCATGTTTGCAAAAAACTGAAGGAGGCATCCTTTGCTATTTTCATAATGAAATCCCTCCTAGAACACACTAATGACTTGGAGAGTGCCTAGTGTGTAGAAGGTGTCTCTAGCTCAAAAGAAAATAATTAGAATCATTTTTGGTTTAAACTGCAATGAGACTGCATCAAAATTTAGAAAAACTGTTCAGAATGCAATTTTCATTTGTATCACAGAAAACTGTTACTTACCCAATGTAACAAATACTGAGAACAGGCAATCAACTATGGTGTTCATGATTTCTTCCATTTCTGTATCCTTTATATCACCTTTATTTATGTCTGAAAATAGTCCATATCAGATGTGACAATTGATGGTAAAATGCTATTAACTCACTGTAGTATGATATCTCATCACTATTTTGCTGTTTCAATACAAACAGATCATCTTCAAGACTGATGAAATTTATGTACTGATCAAATACCTGAAAATTAATAACACATATTTTAGAGCCACACAATACAGAAAAAATATTTTAAACTAATCTTATATGATTTAACTGACACTAAATGAAGTAATGAAAACATAAACTGATATGTGTACACAACTGTACATATGTTATCATTTAAGATATTCCTTCCAAAGTTTTGCTATCATGCTTTGGTTTTCTAGAGTCTGTCAGTCATTCAAGTACGTTTACCTTGTGTATATTAGCAACACAATTTGCAGCTATTGCAGAAGATGCTAAATCTTCTAATTTTTGTCTTGAAATAGGTGATATGAAATTTAAATGGTAAATATCATAAATCCCTCTTTGAAAATCTTGGGATATACGACCCAAGTTTTCCTCTGTTGGTGCACAAAAATATACAGCAGGTACTTCAGGTATTGGATACCTATCTGAATGTAACTGTCTGAAAACAATAAAATAAGAGTTTATGAATTACTGTTGCATGATAGACTAACATCTCATGATCATTAATTACTACCATCTGTCAATATTTGTTGTGGAATGTTTGATTAATCAACCATAGATATTTACTGATCAAGTAACGTTCACATATCTTGATATATATATATATATATATATATATTTTTTTGGTACTGCACAAGCATTCTAATAATAATCTATAATATACAAATAGCATTGATAAAAAGTATCAGCATCCAGTGATTATCAAGTTAAGAGTAAGATTCATATGTTTCTAATATCATCAAGTTTTCTACAGTTTACTGGTGATCACCAAACATGTCCCATAAAAAGAATGATCATTTTCAGTTAATACTATACATCAGGGCTGTCCAACTTAATGTGGCCCAAGTGCCACTTCAAAAAAATCAGCAGTTTGGAGGGCCGCATTATAAAATCTTTCTATACAACATTATTACTGAGTTTATGTAAGAATTGCATATTCGGTATTTGAGAGTAATTTATACATGTGATGTATGTGAAGCAGGCCGCAAGAAAGGAGTTCGTGGGTCGTATGTTGGACAGCCCTGCTATACATAATTCATTAATGTAGTTCAGAAGGCACTGAAAATCTGTATATTTCCTATGTTATACCTAATTTTTTTTTATATTCAATCTAGATGCTTAGCATCCTCGACAGTGAGCCTTTTCTTATGAGGATTGTCTACTCACACAAATAATGTTACACCTTGCTCCCTAAGTTCCTTTATTGAAATCAGAGGTGATATGATGTCTTGACCCACTCTGTCGTATACTAATATCTTCCAGACGGGTTCTGAATTACTGAACTTCGTTAGTGGCTGGTTTAAATTCAACATTTGCTTGATCGCACCTGAAAAATACAATTTTGAGTTCCTCAACATGGTATAAAAACTTCATTGCATTACGTATTTGCTTTTCTCGTATCGTCGACATAATGCCGTAAATTAACTTATAACGTTTACTTTGAAGATTAATAAAAATATGTGCAATTATTAACAAAAACAAATATGCTTTAACGAATGATACGTGTACATTTTTAGGTATGTAATTATTTTTTAAATAAATTCTCTTTGACACATCTACTGACTTTACAATAATTGACAGTTGACATTTCGACAGTTTAATAGTAGTGATGTCAAGATAATAACTAAATCACTTGAAGAGAATTGGTTGTATAAATAAGATGCTTTCGTTGTCCGACCAGAAAAAGAAGACAGCCATCAATGGACAGCTGTTCGGGCTTCTCAGCTACTCGTCAGCATGGTATGGGCTTGGTCTCTTATCTCTGAACGAACGAACGAAAGTATCACAATGAACCGGAGGTGAGGTGCGATTTGTTTGCATGAGATAGCGCAAAGCGTCATCTATCGCACCAGAATCGATTGCGCGCCGCTGCTATTAGTAGGAACTGTCATATATCTCAGTTCGAGCTTAATGCCCTGCCGCTAGATGGCTCATGATTCTGGCTCAGAGTAAGAGTAGTATGTTTGACTTGAACAGATTAAACAAGATGATTTCGTCTGTCCGACCAGAAAAAGATACTGATGAGATGTGATACTTACGCTCGCTCGTCCAGAGATAAGAGACCCAGCCTATACCATGCTGATGAGTAGCTAAGAAGCAGGTAACAGTTGTCCATGATTGGCTGTCTTCTTTTTCTGATCGGACGGGCGAAAACATCTTGATTTTAGCGGTTCAAGGCAAGTAGACCACTTCTACTCTGAGCCAGAATCATCAGCCATCTAGCGGCACAGCTATTACACTCGAACTGAGATCTTTGGCAGTTCCACGGCAGTTCCAACTAATAGCAGGGGTGCGCGATCGATAGATGGCGCTACTGACATATTGACATAACACTGTTGACGCAACCAATAAATATTAAATAAACCTCACAAGTCACATCAAAAAAGGTTATGTTACACGTCATCCAGGAATATAAAAAATAATTGTTTATATATACTTTTAAAAACTGGCAATATCAAACTATTTCCCTATACAATAAGACATTTGTTCACAAAAGACATAAAGAAACATGTCTAAGATACAGGACTCCGTTGACGAACTATTTGAAGTTAAAAATTACTTCTACATTGGAAACTATCAACAGTGCATCAATGAGGCTCAAAAACTTCGAAAGGTGAATACTATTTGAGAATGTTTGACAACCGGCCTTACCTAATGTTACAGTCCAATTTTATATTTTCCCAAAAATACAATATTCGTTTGTTGCATTTTCTAGCCTTCAACACCTGAAGTGGCCGTTCAGCGCGACATATTTACATACAGATCCTATGTAGCCCAAAGCAAGTTCCTGGTTGTCGTCGATGAAATACATGGAGCATCCCCTCCGGAAATTCAACCGTTGAGGCTGTTGGCCAATTACATGTCTGCCAAGTTGAAGAAAGAGAAATACGACCAGATTCTGGCTCAGTTAGAGCAGCAGTTGGCGAACAGCAGCAGTGGTGTTGTGAATGACACGTTGATTTTGGTTGCCAGCACGGTATATTGCAACGAGGATAATATGGAAGCAGCCTATAGAGTGCTACACTTATCAGATAGTCTTGAATGTATGTCATTTTTGGTTGATATCCTCCTAAAGCTGAATAGAGTTGATTTGGCAAGGAAGAAGTTGAAAGAAATGCAAGATAAAGATGATGATGCTATATTAACGCAGCTTGCCCAAGCCTGGATTAATATTTCTGTTGTGAGTATTTAGATACTACGTATACTGACTCATTCATTATCAGTATTTTCAAAATTAACATTTTCATATCTCAGTGTTCAAATATGTAGCAATTTAAAAGAGAAGGATTAGGTATTATATGTAGTTTTATCTTAAAATAGTCATAGTTGAAAATATTTTATAATAAAGTACAGTGGACCTCCGGTAAATCCGACAAACATTATACAGGGCAGTGTCGGACTATTGAATTTGTCGGATTATAGAGCACTGCCTAAGACCCGCTATAGTCCGGAATTTTTTACAAAAGAGTACCTGGTAATCTGACAAATTACATATCCAATGGTAAGATTATGTATACATATATGTTATGTATATGTATGTACTTTGAAGTACAAATCATACATAGTCTATGTATGTCGAATTTAGTAAATTAAATAACAATAAAGAGCTTACGTTTTATTATAAAATTAAACATAAATGCACATACATATGTACCAAAATAATCAAGAATTATTAATCAAAATCATCAATGAATTTATCAAGTTATGAAGCTTGGAAATATTCATCAATTTTTTTTTTTAAGGTTGTTATAATGCGAGATCAGAGCTTTGTCCCTCAGTCTTCTCAAAAGTAAAAATTCGTTTTAGGATGTACCATTCTCTTCAGCCCATTGTAAACCTAGCTCAAAGGCATTAATTGTGTCTTGTGCTGTGACTTGTGGAGCAGTTGCAATCACGTCGTCGTTATTTTCCTGATTGTTTGTTGTATAATTAGAAACCTCCTGTATAACCTCTTCATCAGACATTTAATGAAAAACAGTTTCCTCTTTTTATCCATTCCACGGCACCAGATTTCCAAATCTTCTGGACGTATCTGTGTTTCAGTAGCGACTTGTTCTATAACTTCCGAAGTTACACTGATTTGTGGAACGTTGCTAGGAGTGGTGACTATATCTGGCCATAACTTTTTCCAAGACGATTTAATAGTTGATGACTGACAAGGAGCAAAAACCAAGTCTTTCATATTAAATTCTTTTAAACCTTTTTCTACTGGTTGGTCTTTTGATACGGCTCTCAGAAGTAGGTTTTTCTTATAGTCTTGCTTGACAAACTGAATGATATTCTGGTCCATTGGTTGAATCAGTGCTGTGCAATTTGGCGGAAGAAACATTGCAGTGATGCATTTATCCTTAGTTGTTAGTTCTTCTTCAGATGGATGACCGGGAGCGTTATCAAGAAGCAACAACGCTTTTTGAGAAAAATGATGATCTTTTAACCATTTTCTAACTTCAGGTACGAAGCATTCATCAAACCACTTTTTGAAAAGGTCTTTTGTCATCCATGCACTTTTTTGTGCGTAATAGTGTACATGTAAATCAATGTTTTTGAATGCCCGTGGTTTATTAGATTTCCCAAATGACCATCATCTTAAGCGCGTATGTGCCCGCAGCGTTAGTACATGGTAATATGGTTACATGCTCTTTACTTACTTTTCGTCCAGGTACGGATTTTTCGTTACAAGAAACGAAAGTTTTGTTAGGCATCACACGCCAAAAAATCCCTGATTCGTCTGCGATGTACACCTGTGACGGGTCAAGATTTAAATCGTTCACCTTTTGCAAAAATCTTAATTTAAAGGGCTCTATGCAGGTGGCATTGTTAGAAAGTTTTTCACCTGTAATAGTTATTAAACGTATGCCATGACGACTTTTAAAACGTTCTAGCTATCCTTTGCTGGCCACAAAATCATCTTTTGTGTTATTTCCTTATAAAAAAACTTAGCTTTCATGGCCAACATGGGTTCTGAAATTGGTGCATACCTATTTCTTTCCTGAAGAAACCATATGTTCAAAGGTTCTTCCACTTCTGGATGTTCAGCTTTCTTGAGTGTCTGTCTCTTGCCTGCCCGCAGTCAGTAGTTGACACGAACTTCTTGATCTTCTCGTGGTTTCTTTTAATGTCATAAATTGTAGATCGGGCTACGCCGTATTCACTTGCTAAACTACTGAAAGTTTCATTGCGATTTAAGCGGTCTAAAATATCACATTTTTCTTTAATTGGCAATGTTTTGTGCTTTCACTTCTGAGTTTGTGATGGCATTACTAGGTACTATACTTAATACACAATGAATAAATAGTAAACAATGAACGCACGCTAGGCCGTACCGCTATTACCAGTAGTCAAATTCAAACTAAGTAAAACAATGCTTACGCGTCCAGCACGATAGCGGTGGCGCGTACAAGTTGTAACCTGTTCAAACCTGCGTGATCTACATTAGCGAAGATTGTCAAATACATATGTATGTAATTCATATTCAAAGACATGTCGGATTACAAGGGGCGCCAGATTACACAGGGGTCGGATTATCGGGGGTCCACTGTAATTGTTAAATCCAAAAGGATGATCTTGGGGTTTGAAACTGTCATGAAATCCATGTTGACTTAGCCTTGCTATTTTTTTTTACTAAAGTATGTTTTACAAAAATATTATTCTACCATTATCTATCCTATTACATCGATGACTGATTTTGAAGCTAGAAAAAAATAATAATTGTATTGTTCTAATCCTGTAGGGAGGTGAGAAACTGCAAGATGCTTATTATATCTACCAAGAATTGGTAGACAAGTATGGATCTACTCCACTTTTGTTGAATGGTCAAGCTGTAACTTTTATGGGACAAGGCAAATATGAAGAGGCAGAGGCAGCACTTCAAGAAGCTATTGACAAGGATGCAAAGTATCCTGACACATTGGTGAATATGATTTGGTTAAATAGGCACCTTGGCAAATCAGAGGTAAGGTGAAATATATATGCATACATAGGTTTTTATAGGGACTTGCATACAATAAAAGTTATTACGCACCAAATAGCATAACACAACTATAACCCCACCAACAGTTTTCATTTTTTCTGTAGTTGGTTTAAAGGTAAATTAATATAACTTGGGGGTGCTGAATTTGTCATTAAATCAATTAGAATAAGCTCCATATGTATTATTTTTGTTTGTTTCATCAGCCTCATAAGTTATATTAAGTTACAAAATTGAACCGAGCAAAAGAAAGCCAGAAGTTGTTGCTGGCCCTATAGTTATGCTCTCATATTTAGTTTAGTCTAAATAAATATCGAATACCTTACATTTATTTAGTTAAAAATTTTATTTGAGACACTGTAAAATTTGGAGATGTCTGTTATAACTGTTATTTTGTACCGTTCTTATGTTTCCAGATTGCTAACAGATATCTTTCTCAACTGAGGGACACTCACTCTGAACATCCCTATATAAAAGAATTGGATCAAAAACTGGATGAATTCCGCCATATATGTAAACAGTACCTCCCATCTAGGCAAACTATTGAGGAATAAGGCTTAAAATATATTAGGTATACTAAATTATATAACAGATTGTCATATGGAATAGTGATTAAAGACATATGGTTATAATTCTTTTTTCATTTTATATAAACATTTTTACATATTAATATATCATAGATAAACGTTAAGTTGTTCAAAAAGTTTGTCATTGTGGATATAATAAAGATGTTATAAAACAGATTGCTACATTATTGAACCAGCGTCTGCAGTCAGTTGACAAATCAAGCTGAAAATTTATTCATTTTACTAGTAAGGGATACTGAACAGATATGCCAAAAATTATTAAAATCGGATAAACATACGTAGCTGTTTACCTTTTTTTGTCACTAAGTATATAATGCTGACATTATAACATATTTCATGGCTACTTAAATGGCAGATAAATGGTAGCTCATTTTGCAAAATGATAATTATCACCTCACTTAATCTGTTAATAGGGATATATTTGGTTTATTTGAAGTGCAACAGAGAAAACAATTCATTATTATCTTATCATTTTATTCAAAATCACAGAATTCATTTCGCAATACGTTGTAAGCACAATTGTACATTTTTCAGTAAACCTACTCAGCGCACGGATTTCAGCTATCCGCTTAGACATATGCTTATAAAAAATAATACTTCTTCTGCTAAGTTTCAGACAGTCGGTTTGTTAAGATCATGAATAGAGCACACGCTAGAAAATTGCTTCTTATGCTAAACATACAAGATAGAATTCCCGATGTTAGCGGTCCAATGAGTTGAGCAATGGTATTTATGTTATTAAAACATTTCAAGGCAATTGTCGTGCGGTTTCTTTTGCCTTTAGATTGATCTGCTTCGATTTTTAAATGTAGCAAATCGTCCAGAGCCGAGTCTATAAACGACTTCGCTGCCGAATTCACGGTGATTGCTAAAATAAACACGGGCAAATCCGACGTGACCGAGGAAATCGCGTAAGTGGCCACTAGCACGGACGTGAAATGCCGCACTCTTAAGTAACCAGAATCTTCCGCGTAATACCTCGATCGAACCGTACTAACGAACCAACTTGCCACTATCGGAACGGTCATGTTGAAAACGATGCAATATCCGATTGTCGCCATCGGCAATCGGTATTCCGCGTTCAACGTTGTCCCTAGCGCGTTGAAGTTGATCACCGAAACGTATTCCACGAACAGTTTGATCGCAAACACGTCTTTGTATTGAGAAGTCGCCAACATACTCAAATCTGTAAACAACGATGACATCTCTTGCCAGGCTTCTTCTATAATGTTCATATGTTTTTGGGCGTCTTTAGATTTCTTCGAGTCCTTAGTTTGTTTGGTATCCTCTTCAGGTAAAGATTTCACCAAAACTGAGAAAGAATAAAGATGAGAACGCATCATTTCTATATCACAAACATAAACATAGTCGCAAAATACAGGGTGGTCCATAAGTCCTTTGAAATTTCAAATTTGAATAAAATTTAACGGGTGAGCGTGAGCGGCGCGGGCGAGGTGGGGGCAGTATCTTCAGTGTCTGGGAATTCAGTCGCCATGGCGTGTTTCACTGGAGCGGATCGTGCTTTTTGTGTGCGCGCGTTTTATCAAAATAATGATTCGGCAACCATTGCGCGGCGTAAATATCGAGAATAGCACAATTTACACAAATTTACAAAGTGTCCAACAGCTCAAACGATTAAGAACTGGGTTGCTAAGTTCGAAGAGACTGGTTCGACGTTAGATAAACAGCGGTGGGGTCGACCAAGGACAACTCGTATTGAAGAAAACATCAACATTGTGGCACAGTCTGTTCGTCAAAATCCTACCCAGTCTACTCGTAAGCGTTCCAGTGCACTAAACGTACCCAGAACATCTTTACAGCGGATTTTAAGGAAAGATTTACGTCTGCACGCTTACAAAATTCAGTTAGTGCAGGAATTAAAAGATAATGACGCTATTCAGAGACTAAACTTTACGAATGAAATGTTGAATCGATTTTCTTCGCTCAATAATGCGTTGTTCTCGGACGAGGCTCACTTCCATTTAAACGGGCATGTAAATAAACAAAATTGCCGTTATTGGAGCCCCGAAAATCCAAGGCGTAAGAATCAGAAGCCCTTACACAGCCCTAAAGTTACAGTTTGGGCTGCTATGTCAGCGCATGGCATCGTAGGCCCTTATTTTTTTGAGGACGACAGAGGTCGCGCATTAACTGTTACTTCGGAGCGGTATGTAGCAATGATAGAAGAGTTTTTGACACCAGCGTTGCAGAATTTTCCAGGCTATAATACGCAGACCTGGTTTGAACAGGACGGAGCAACTGCCCACACCTCTAACACTTCTATGCCCGTCGTCTGTCAACTTTTTCCCAGCAAAGTAATTTCTCGAAGAGGAGACATTTCCTGGCCACCACGTAGTCCAAATTTGACCCCAATGGACTTCTTTTTATGGGGCTACCTCAAGAGTAAAGTGTACGACACCACTCCGCGATCAGTTGATGTCCTGAAAGAAAATATCCGAAGAGAAATGGCAAGCATTATAGTGTTGACTTGCCGCGCAGTCATCGACAATTTTAGACGTCGTTTATATGAGTGCCGTGATCGTAATGGATTGCATTTAGACGATGTGATTTTTAAAACATAATTCCCATTCAATAAAGATGATAACAAAATATAATAATTCTTCATAATGTAACTAGTTTGGTTTTATTCCTTTTTTTCCAGCTCAAAGGACTTATGGGCCACCCTGTATATCACAAACATAAACATAGTCGCAAAATATAACATAAATGCAGCACTGATTTAGGAATACCCTTAATTCTGTGCCACAGTTAAATATGATTCATTTGAAATGTATACAGGACGTTATACAAATATATAAATCATATTTTAATGATAAATTCCTAAATGCTATTATCGGTATAACCTTCGAGAAGATAACTTACCAATAGAAATGAGAATGTTCCCTATCATCGACATATACACATATTCGTTTCCTGTGACGTAATCACCGGAATATCCTCCAATCACTCTTCCAACCATGAAACCTACAGTTCCGATGGTTTCCAAATTCATCAATACCTTAGAGGATTCGTCGGTGTCTTTAGAATGTTTTGTTATTTCACTTTTCAATATGGCTTGTACTGGAATGCTAGCAACTGCAAAAAGTACCTTACCGTTATCCGTTTTAATAATGTCACAATAGAACAAAAGTATACAAATTTGAATTGTGTAACGCAAGATAAAATGTCGTCAAGTAGCTTGACTCTGCACTTTCCACGCTACTCTGATATCAATCCGTAACAATTATGTTCGGCACAAGTTAGCCAAGTCTTAAAAACACATGCACGGGGAAGTCTATTATGCGCGAAATAAGTACTAATAGAAGCATATAACTGCCGGAATTTGAAGCGTATAAATATAGTAACGCCAAATAATTTATATATACAGGGTGGCGCGTCGAAAACGAAACAGACCCATTTACTGGCAGCTCAGTTTTTTTTTGGAAAAACGCTCAGACCCGTCGATTTTGTTTTCGAGGGGGACAAAAAAATCACGTTAGCACGTGCAGCCCCCTAAGCGGGGGTGACACCACCCCCAAAATTTTAAATGGAAAGGGGGGTCGAGTGATACCTTACTTTAAAGGTCTTTCAATTCCCTTTATAATGATATAAAATTAATGTACTTCAGTTCAATAGTTTTGAAGATTTATTGATTTAAAGCTTAAATAAAACTACTACATCATCATTAGCGGAGATCAATACATTTGGCAGAAAAGTAATTTAAAAATGAAGAATAAACTGACCCGTTAGTTAAGCAAGTGCTGAATAGACAATGTTCATCGTTTATAATTCGTTCACTCATATCTTCACAAAATTGTAATCGCCGATCAAAATCGTCTTCATTAAGTTCTTGTACCAGGTGAATTTTATACGGATGAAAACTATGGGCCTTTAGAATCCGTTGGATAGTACGTCGACTAACACCACACTCAGTCTCCAATTTGCGGGTACTTAACGTAGAATCTACATAAACTTGCCCTAAAACCCCAACTTCTATTGCTTCATTCCTTATGGGATTTTCAATGTTGCGTTTTTTATTGGCGACTGACCCAGTTTCCCGAAGTTTAGCTACAAGTTCTACACCATATTTTCGATGCACGTTACTGTTCTCATGTCGCTCATTGAATATTTCTGCTGTTCTATTGGCGCACTGATTATTTTATTTGCGAAAAAGATTTCGGTAATTTCAACTCTTTCTGCTGAGGAATATACCATGGTTAATTTATGTGATAAAGCGTTACAAGTTATTTTAGCAACAAAGTTTGGTCAAATCAATCGCAAACTATGTACTAAATTCCTATTTAAAATGAGTACGAGATATTTCCTTATCTTTCTTCAAGAAATAACTTTTTGCCACAAAAAACGCTCCAATAGCTATTTTCAACAACAAAATGATAAACAAACCATGGGCGTAGTGAAGAAAAGCATTTACTTATTAAGTAAATTCTTTTAGTCAAATTTCTTCTGAAAGTAGTACAAACTAATCTGATGTACCTATTAAAGTCTACTTAAAGCTTTAAATCAATAAATCTTCAAAACTACTGAACTGAAGCTCATGTATTTTACATCATTATAAAGGGAATTGAAAGACCTTTAAAATAAGGTATCACTCGACCCCTCTTTCCATTTAAGATTTTAGGAATGGACTCACCCCCGCCTAGGGGGCTGCACGTGTTAACGTGATTTTTTTCGTCTGTTTCGTTTTCGATGCGCCACCCTGTATATACAGGTATATATCGTCCTTTCACCCCCGCACTTTTTCAAAAATGATCAAGAGTTTCTGAAACGTAAAATAACGAACTTTGAGCGGTATTTATTAACTCCTACCGATTTCTAAAAACTGCAAAGCTTTTTCGTCCTTAGAATAATAGTAATCTTGTGTGAACATTGAAAGGACAGACTGATGGAAATGGTTTTTCGTGAAATATACAGGGTGATTCATAAGTCGTGACCAAAAATGAAACATACACAGGACCGCGTTTTAAGGGGGGTCTTCTATGTAACATTTTTTGCTCGAGGGCTTCATTAAAAAGATTCGCGGTGTTGAAGTTTAAAAATGAAAAACATTTTTTTTAATATCCCAACATATAGTAAGACTAATTTAATAAGACAAGGACTGCATTCAAATACAGAACAATACTCACCACAAATCAGACGAGCTACGAAGTATAAGAGGACCGATGAAGTTGCCGCCGAAAGTATGTTCCCTAATACAGAGAACAATAAGCACCACACCATAACGTTTTGTTTATTGTTCTTATTACTTATGTGAACCTAAAACAATAATTTGATATTTAAATATAGGAAAGAATATACCGGGTGCTTCAAATTCGACCCTCACTGAAATGAGGAAAAATAAAACATTATTTTGTCATGAATCTGGTATACGAAACAAATGCCTATATGACAATTTCAAGAATACCTAGGAAATTCTGCCTTTTTAAATAACTAAGGTTTGGCAATGTCAATGTATGTATGCATGATATATTAAACCTTTTTGGAATCGGAATTAAATACTCTATTCATCTGTGCAAAAATCCAATATGGTGTTCATAAGCAAAAATAAAGTTAACGCTGGAAGATAAGAGAAGAAACGTTATATTGAAATTCTAACTATGCCGTCTTAAAGAGGACAAAAAGTGGTAATAATTTATTTTGAAACGAACGAAAAAGCGATTTTGGGAAAATCCAGTTTTTCGGTCTCTCTTCAGAAGTACTTTGGATTTGGAAACTTCATAAGCGGCATTTTGTTAGTTGCCTAAATACGAAACATTGCCCCCATTTAAGCCACTATCGAATAATTATATTATAACTTTATTCAAAATAGTATCTTTCAGATTCAATTGGTACAATACGCACATTCTAACAAGGCAAATTAATAGTTTTTTAAGAGTTTGAATGTTTATCTCTACCAAATATGTTAACTTAACATCGTATCGTACAGCCAGAAATCATAATCATGAAAAGTTTAGGGACTTTAAAAAAAAAAGGCAAATAAAAATATTTTACGACGGCCTAACTACCCAAAAAACAACCAAATAACAATATCAGTAAATATAATATACCTTACCACACTGGCTTTCGAGAAAATTGCTAATAGCGCTATGAGGGATTTTAAGAGTCCCACCGTAAAAAAAGTCCCACCCAGCTGGATAACATGCTTCGGCTGTATCGCCAAGTAGGTCCCCAGCGAAAATGCATCCTGAAAATATGAAAAGCATTAATGCCCGTGAATTTTGATACCATATGGTTGACAACATTTGAGTACTCGAACAACAACGTTTTTCCAAAATTTGTCATATTTGAAAACTAACTGGACCCAATATTTATCATAAATTCACCGAAAATTGCGAAGCTTTTCGAGTTCGAGAAGCCAAGCATTAGTAGACAAGCAGATGTAACACAAATAAGAAAACGATCCACTATAAAAAATATGGCATCGTGATTAGTACAAGGTGTCCAGTCGCAAAATTTAACTTTTTGATTAAAAAAAAAATATATGCAAACTTAATGAAAAGAAAATAGTTATTACTATCAACATTTTCGTATATTCGGCGGGTTTTATTTCTTAAATATCATACCGTCCAAATGTTTGCCATCCCTTCGGACACACTCTTCTAATTGCGCGCGCAAATGCTGAAACACTCCGAGTGATGTTGATCATTTCTCGTCGAATGTTGTCTTTAAGCTCCTCCAGTATTCGTGGAGTATTGGAATACACCTTTGACTTTAGATAACCCCACAAAAAACAATCGCATTGCGTGAGGTCGGGTCACCTAACAGGCCGGTGAATGTCTCCAAATTTCGATATAACTTTTTGAGGCAAAAGTGCTTTCACCGTGTCCATAGATTCTCCGGAAATATGGGCATCGGCCCATCCTGTTGAAACCATGTAATTCTGTTAAATCGACGTTCTGTTCTTACAATAATAATACAATACATGTCCTTGTATCGCTCGGAATTGACTGTCAATGCATGACCGTTTTCATCTTCAAAGAAATACGACCCAGTAATACCGCTAAAGGATATGGCGCACCAAACAGTCACCTTTGGACTATCTGGCTGTTGTTGATGTTTCTCTTTTAGGTTCGTTGGTGCTCAATATCTGCAATTTTGGTTGTCCACATAACCGTTTAAGTGAAAATGGGCCTCGCCACTGAAAACAACGTAGGAAAAAGATTCAACATCCGTTCAGCATAAGATTTCTGTAATACGTAATCACTTTCCTCACTTTTAAAGGATGAAAACCCAATTTTTTCTTCATTATGCCTTGCAGTGTTGACCTAGTGATTTCCAAAGCAGCGGAATGCTTCCGTACAGAACGCCGAGGATTTGCAATGCCCGAATCTCTTACTCGACGCACGTTTTGTTCGGTTGATACAGTAGGTGTGGAGCCAGGAACGGGTTGACTAAGAGTAGAGCCTGTTTCACGAAACCTCTTGATCCACTTGTTATATAGGTTCTTACTTGTGGCATCTCTTGGTCGTTAAAAATATCGTATCGTGTACAAAATTTGATAAGGGCAGCTGTGTATGTATCACCTCTCTTAAAGTAAGCCTCGATACCAAAAGCACGTTACGCTCCGGTCCAACGTTCCAATGTGACTATTTAGCCCGCACGCCGAACGAGTCGATCAAGACCTCTCCCTACTTAATCGCGTATACGGTTGCCGCGTAATTCAAATTGGAAATGTGAACTTTCCCACTGGCCAACCTGTATAAACAAAATATCTTGAATATTTTCCCAAGCGCAATCTCGGCATATCCTCGCCCGAACGTCGTTTACATGGTAGCAACTGCAGTTGGTCTTTCGAAAAACTGTGTATTCTCGAACCAGCTCGCTTACCGGCCAAATTTGGCCGTGACTGTAGCCTGTTGGTTGTTGCAGGTGCTAGGATTTATGTTCAACAAACATATAATCGGCAGCGGTATTACGTATCTTGAAAAGTGACGTTATGTCGTTTTTTTTTGACATTATATGTATAGGTTTTCTGTGACATTAAGTTGTCAACTTAAAACTAGCTGTTGCTTACTTGATGTGCACTCGTTGTTTAGCTGTACGTGTTGACTATAGTCAGAATCACGAAAGATGACTATTACGTCATACCACAAATTGTACAGAAGTAATCAATGGACGTACCTCGATGATAAAATCACGATGACAGGAATAATGACAATAAATTTATATTATGATTTTGCGAAGTTAGGTTATTTCACCGAATATTTTTATTTTTATTTTATTTCAAGGTTTTGAGTGATACCTTGATCATAATTTTAGTGCGGAGTTTTTGTTTTGAAAAAAACAGTTATGATTAGAATGCCCTAAGACAGAAACACCAAAGACCAAAGTATTATTCGGAAACAACCTAACCTACTTTAACATAACCTATCTATTCAGCCTTCAAAAATGATCGATCATGCGACATGAAAACATCGTCTATCTTTGTCGAATACATGCATATTAGCAATACAGTTTTTTTAGACAATAAAATTCTGTTTGTCTATGTCTAGCGTATCTGAAACTTCATTAAAAATATTCACATATCGCTGTCGTTTGTCTTTACTACAGATTAAAATGATGACGTAATCGTCATCTTTCGTGATTTCGACTATAAACGTCATGACGCCTGAGCTATCATGGTTTGGCTCAGATGTGATGTAACATCTGCTTCAGTGGTCTAAGCTGTTAGTTGTATGCTATAGCTGGAAGGAAACGGGCGAAGCGGCAGTGCATATGTGCTCGGTGAGGATTTCTGTGCTAAAAATCTGTTTTAATGATAATTCTTGTCTCAAATACACTTACTTTAGATGTAGGAATACAAAGCTAGAACCTAGTAGCACATCTACCGTTTGTTATTTATTCCGGAGAGATAAAAAATCCCTGGTTGGTGAAGTATATTACAACTATTTATTTTTTCAAATAAAGCCTTAGATATCACTTTGAATATAATGTTTCTTCAGAAAGGACAACACATACATAATATACAGGGACAGGGTGTTCCTTAATGATATGCGAATATTTAATGGTGTGAATCTACATGAAAAAGTGTTAGTTTGGTTAATAAACTATGGTCCAAAAATGTTTCCTTAGAAAAACTCGGGGTGTTGAAGTTTTAGGAAAAAAATGGAAATTAATATTTTCAGAACCGCTTCGGATATTTCACTGATATTCAGTACGTAGTGAAAGTTAATAAAGTTGCAGATTTTTAAATGCAAAAATAATTTTTAGCTTTAACAGTGGCATGCATACGGGTATTGACTTCGATATTTTTTAAGAAAAAATGGTACGCCAATGGTTTTTTGGCAAATAAAAATTATTTTAGAATTCCCCGTTCAATTTAAAACAAATAATCTTTCTTGAGTTGCTTTCCTTCGATGTGCCATTTTAGAGTAAAAAATAAAAACCGTTCTATTGTCTAACTTGCAAAATTATTATCAATTTAATTGGAAAAATTAAACACATTAGGGGTAATGAACAACAACAACTGACAACATAAACATAACATTAAAACCAACGAAATGATTTCAAAAATTGTTGAAAATGGCCCCATTCACTTAGTATGCATGCTTTCGCCCTCCTTCTCATGGAATTGCGCACTCGTTGAAATATCCCTGGAATGTTTTTATTCTATCACAAGCTGCAACTATCCTTTCTCTTAATTCCTCTATAGTGCTAATGGGACTTGTGTACACAGTGTCTTAAGATAGTCCCACAAAATGAAATCTAAACTGTTGAGGTCTGGGGACCTTGGTGGCCATTCTTGGGGCCCACCGCGGCCAGTCCAACGATTTGGATAAACAGTTTGTAAATAATTACCGTGTTTTTGTAACATTTTTGGACCATAGTTTATGTAGCAAACTAACATTAATTTTTCACACAGATTCATACCCTTAAATATTCGCATATCATCAAGGAACATAATAAATCAAAAAAAGAAAGTACAACACATAAATAAACCGTCTGGTACAGCTAATAAATCCACTTCATGGGCAGCATATTCAGTAATAATTTTCTCATATAGCAAATATCACAGCATTTATACACATGCAAACGAATACACACAATCATCCAGATGCGATATTGCTATTCAACCAATTTTCTTCCTTTCACATCTTAGAGATACATACTCTACAAACTATCTCGATATTCTGCAACCATGCTGACACACTGCCTTGCAGCATATCGTTCAGTGATTCTTTCATAGGTGCCGATTTGGGCGACGCTCACAACGAGCAATAGGGAATGAACTATTTGTACACTGGCAGCTATCTAGTCAGCAACTTTACATTTTGTCGTTTTGTTTTTGGCATTATGTAATAACCCTGCGGGTTACTTTCGTTTTTTACAAACAGGCGAAAGAGGCCGTCGTGGCGAGTGTCAAGTTTTCAGGATGTATCGTAAATTGCAAACATAATTTTGATATGTATATGTAGACAATGGCCATACCATTCTAAATTTTGTTGCTAAAAAATAAGTTTTCATGTTCGTAACTCAGCATAAATAGGTTATGGTAGAATACTTACCAATGCAAATATACAGTATATGTAGAACATGCTTTATGTTATATAATATAGCTACATGTCTCTGAAAGACTCAACAACAGTGAAAGTGATTGGACAGCCGGCGAATTCGTTTGTTCGTCTGATAACAGTTATCAGCTGAACGTTATGCTCGCGAACAATATGGACTGGTTCAAAGTAATACACGGCGTTTCCGTAACAACGTTATATTCATATTTCTTATACGAGTACCTTCGTTTAAACACCTATTTTGAAATCATTTGTAATTATTCGACGCTCCGCTGCCGACTAGTCCTTGAACCAACGAGATTATTTATATTTCAAAAAATGACATTGATTGTCGTATATAGGGAAAATGCGTTGGAAACGTTTTCATAATTAATACGGAAAGATCCTAAACATGTATAAACATAAATCCTGAAGTACCGTTTGTTGAAATACAAGGTTTAGTTATAATCTCATTACTCGAGTCGGTTCGCAAGAAACAACAAACAAGTTCAATTAATAAATATATTTGCATATAATTCCGAACAGAATATAGACAAGTCAAATGAATACTGAATCCTAATTGCGACATACAGGGTGGCGCATCGAAAAGGAAACAGACGCATTTACTGGCAGCTCAGTTTTTTTTTGGAAAAACGCTCAGACTCGTCGATTTTGTTTTCGAGGGGGACACAAGTTTGGCAAAAAATCACATTAACACGTGCAGCCCCTTCGGCGGGGGTGACACCATCCCTAAAATCTTAAATGGAAAGGGGGGTCGAGTGATACCTTATTTTAAACGTCTTTCAATTCCCTTTATAATGATATAAAATTAATGTACTTCAGTTCAGTAGTTTTGAAGATTTATTGATTTAAAGCTTAAAGTAGACTTTAATAGATACATCAGATTAATTTGTGCTACTTTCAGAATAAATTTGACTAAAAGAATTTACTTAATAAGTAAATGCTTTTCTTCACTACGCTCATGGTTTGCTTATCATTTTGTTGTTGAAAATAGCTATTGGAGCGTTTTTTGTGGCAAAAAAGTTATTTCTTGAAGAAAGATAAAGAAATACCTCGTACTTATTTTAAATAGGAATTTAGTACATAGTTTGCGATTGATTTGACCAAACTTTGTTGCTAAAATAACTTGTAACGCTTTATTACATAAATTAACCATGGTATATTCCACGGCAGAAAGAGTTGAAATTATCGAAATATTTTTCGGAAATAATCAATGCACTAATAGAACAGCAGAAATATTCAATGAGCGACATGAGAACAGTAACGTGCATCGAAAATATGTTCTAGAACTTGTAGCTAAACTTCGGGAAACTGGGTCAGTCGCCAATAAAAAACGCAACATTGAAAATCCCATAAGGAACGAAGCAATAGAAGTGGGGGTTTTAGGGCAAGCTTATGTAGATCCTACGTTAAGTACCCGCAAATTGGAGACTGTGTGTGGTGTTAGTCGACGTACTGTGCAACGGATTCTAAAGGCCCATAGTTTTCATACGTATAAAATTCACCTGGTACAAAAACATAATCTTTATTATTGCATGGAAAGTCATGGTGGACATTTTCAACATTTACTTGCCTAACGGGTCAGTTCATTCTTCATTTTTAAATTACTTTGCTGCCAAATGTATTGATCTCCACTAATGATGATGTATTAGTTTTATTTAAGCTTTAAATCAATAAATCTTCAAAACTATTGAACTGAAATACATTAATTTTATATCATTATAAAGGGAATTGAAAGACCTTTAAAGTAAGGTATAACTCGACCCCCCTTTCCATTTAAGATTTTGGGGGTGTTGTCACCCTGTATAATTTATTGAGCCAGCAATTTGGGTAAATGCAAAACTAAATATTTATTGTATACAGGTAAACAGATCTAAAATATTAACTGACAATACACGAATTGAAACGTTGTCGAACAGAATCTGAATTGAGAATTGATAGTCTACCCACTAATAAATGAGAAAGAGCCTTGAAGTGCGGCGATGTTCGTCGCGACGCGACGCAGAAAATTAAACTTTGATTGGGCGGATAGCGAACGTAAATGCTGCATCGGTTGCTTCGTAGTAACACCACAGCTGATGCGAGATTCTGATGGATTTTTAAGCTGGTGAGTGAATTTTTTCATATCTCTACATGTTTGTGTTCTCGTAGATTATGTGAAGAGTAAATTATATTAGTCTAACGCGATACCTACAAAGTAGGGCGAATGTGTCAGTGGTCGAACAGTTCAGACAAAAATGGAATACAAAGTGTAATTACGACTTTTGTGTTCAACTCAACTAAGAAATATATACAGGGTAGCCGATATGTAACTGACTGGTTTGTATCTTGAATATTTGTGAAATGAAATAAAATACGTCCATTTTTTTCATCTTCATCTTTTATTGAAAATTAGAAATTATGTATGAAAAGTAATATCAGACAAATGTCCGCCTCTAGAAGCCGCACAAATCTGAGCCCTCTTGATTACATTTTCCATCACTTTTCCGTAGATTTCGGGAGGGATACTCGTATTTCCAATCGCTTCCGTAATATTGTTCTTCAGACTGCTCTAAAGTATTTGGTTTGTTAGCATAAACACTATTTTTAAAAAATCCCAATATAAAAAAGTCAGGAGCCGCTAAATCCGGTGACCTTGGCGGCCAATCGACATCACTAAATCGAAAAATTAAACGTCCCGGAAATATTGTTCGCAAAAGATTCATTGTTTCTGTCGCTCTGTGACAAGTTGCTCCGTACTGCTGGAACCACATGCTTTGCAGGTTAAATTGTTGGATTTGAGGAGCCAGAATCTTTTGCACTATATCACGGTAGCGCTCGCCAGTGACAGCAGGAGAATTATCAGCAGCGTCTTCAAAGAAGTAAGGTCCAATGACAACTCCATACCAAACACCGTACCAAACTGTGACTCGACGAGGATGTAGTGGTAGTAGATGGATGACACGAGGGTTCTCTAATGTCCAGATACGACAATTTTACTTGTTAACAAATCGGTTCATATCGAAGGGGGCTTCATCGCTCATTATCAGTTGTCGGTAAAAATCGTTATTTTCATGGTCACTAAGCTAGGTTTTAGGGTTAACCAAATTTTGTATGGCCGCATATGCAAGTCTCTTTTTAAAACAGTGCATGATGACGTGCGACGACTACCCAGTTCTCGAGAAAGATGTCTGGTAGACGTCTCAGGGCGTTCCACTACACTTTCACGAACTCTCTCGATATTTTCCGGAGTACGAACAGACCTTGGCAAGTCTTTAACTTCACCTGTTTGTTCAAATTTCCATACCAACTGACGAATGCTGTTGACACTGGGCACATTTTCTCGACCGAAATCTTGTCGTAGCTTCTGAACCATTGCAACAATCGACTCATTAATTGGGCACATGTGCTTTGAACAACTGCTACGGCGCCACCTACTGAAAGGCGTATATTAAAAGTGGTGCGCAATTTAAATCAGTCAGGTATATATATAAAATTTGAAAATTTGTGATAGTAGAATAGAAATTTCTAATCAGCTGTCATTAAGACTTTGGGGAAAAGAAACTAAACACGCTCATACTGAGTCTATTTAAGATATATATTTTTATCAAAGATACATACAAACATTGTAAAAATGAACAAGAAACTAATTTTTTCCTTTGATCCGGTCCTGCACTGTCGTCTTTGAAATATCATGCTGTTTACATATTTCAAGCAATTTTTCATAGCTTGTCTTCACTGTACACATAGGTCGTGACCAAAAATGAAACTTTACACACAGGACAGCATTTTAAGGAAGATCTTCTATGTAACATTTTCTC